CGGTCCCTGATGCTTTGCCAAGCTTGTTCTAAGTAGGTGCTTTAGACCACTGAGCCATCTCACCAGCCCCAACCTTGGGTTTATAGTACCTGCTATTTCTGCTCTTGTCTGTCACCCGGCCCCAGCTGGTGGCCTGCTGGGTGGATTGCTGGCAGCCCTGACCAGAGTCCACTCCTCTGCTCTGAGCTATGACGTGTGCCCCTGACAACCTTCTAGGCTTTTCTAGGCCTCATTGTCCCTGTCTCAAAGGGGCAGGGTGTGTCCCCTTGGCTCAGTTGGCCACAACAGTAAGAACCTGGGAGCGTGCTCAGGACAGACCAGCCTGACTCAGCCTTCCCCCACGAAGCTCTTTGTACAGGGTCTGTGACTGACTGCCTTGTGTCCCCAGAGCAGCCATTGACAGGATAGGTGCTATTAGGTAGCCCCTGGGTGTCATTAGAACCCAAGAAATAGGAACCAGGGGAGCAGGGCCATTGGCCCAGAGAGGGGGCTGGGAAACAGCATCTCAGCTGTAGACAGGAGATCTGTGTGCTCGGAAGCTGTGTGCCCTGAACTTGCTGTTTCAGGAGCCCCTGGGGAGGTCTGCTGGGGCGGAGCCATTGAGGGAGGGTGTAAAATTAGCCTGGGTCAGCTCAGTGGTCCCTGGGGTACGAGGAACTGCTTGGGATCCTGATGAGCCCAAGGTGTGTTGGTGGGGGACAGTGGGCACTCAGGTGTCTCATTCTTCTTTGTACCCAGAGCCAATATCCAGCCCTGACAGCAGGGGCAGAGGATCCCAGGGGGGCTGGGATGTGGAGGTTGGGTGCGTGCGCCAGAGGGGCTCCTGCCCAGGAGCAAGGGTGGTCACTGGCTCTGCTGGTAGGGAAAGGGCGTGGCCAGAGCGGTGTGACGTAAGTGGCCAGTCACCTTGCCAGGTGTGCTTGCTTAGACCCACATGAGGGAAGACATTTGTCCTTGCTTTGGCGGGGTGTCGTTGTCACTCTGGTGTGGGTGGGGGTGGTGACACAAGAACCAGCATCCTGCGGGCTGTTTCCTTTACTCTTTCTTGGCTCTGCTGGGCTGTGTGTATGTTGGGAATGGCTGTCACATTGCCCCAGGTCGCTGATACAAGCCAGTGTCCCACATAGCCTGCTACCTGGGCATGTGGGGCCATCCCTGGAGCACGGAGCGAGAGTTTTGTCTTTGGGAAAAGTGAGTGTGCCCTACTGAGCTCTTGAGGCTGCCCCGAGGCGGGCTGAGGGTTGAGAAGACCTACACCTGTTTTGGCCCCGTGAGATTTGGCACCAAGCAGTAGAGCGTGTAGAAGAGGCCTCCTGCCTAGTGTGCGGACTTTGTATTGTTCATGAAGCCAGTTTTGAGATTGTTTCTAATGGATCTATAATGGAAACTCCCCTCCCAGGTCACTGTGGTGGCACCAGGTGCCAGTGACATTTAACTAGCGGTAGGAGGTTCATAGAGCGGTTCACCAACCCACTGAGGGACCCACTGGCTGCTCAGGAGGCCAGATTTGGCTGGATACCTGGTCTGTAGACCTGGCTTTGCCCCTGAAGTGTAACCGTGGGGATTGGGAGGCCTAGACGGATTATTATTTTTTTATTTTTTTGGCGGAACCAGGGATTGAATTCAGGCCCTTGCGCTTGCCAGGGAAGTGGTTATTCCACTGAGCCATCTCCCTGGCCCTTGCCTAGACAGATTTATCTGCCTCATTTAAAGCTGGCAAGATCTTTTAAAAAAATTTTTAAATTTTTTATTTTAATTTTATTTTTATTATTATTTTTTGCAAGCTCTTACTCATCCTTTAGAACCCCTCATAATTGTCCCCTTTCTGAAGCCTTATCCATTCTCATGCTTAGTAAGCTTGTAGTTGAACCTCTGCAAGAGTTGGGTCTAGAGGCAGGAGTCTTAACAGGTTTCCTGCCAGGTCAGAGCCTGAGAGAAGGGGAACAGTAAGGGTAGCGTGGGTGTGGGGCCTCTGGTGACATCACTCCAGGACAGCTCTGCCCCTTCCCAGACTGGAGCAGCTCCCTCTCCATCGCCCTTTTCCGGGCATCTTTTGAAGAATCGTGACATTTTTGTGTGCCCCGTCTTGTGGCCTGACCGCTCCTGTCTGCCCCAGGTGCGAACGCTGTTTGTCAGTGGTCTTCCTGTGGACATCAAACCCAGAGAGCTCTACCTGCTCTTTCGGCCGTTCAAGGTGAGCGGGGCGGGAGGCCGCGGGCCTGGGCCTGGCCTGCGCTGGGTTTGCCCACTGGTGCTCACAGAGCTTAGAGCCTGCTTCCTCCTCTGTGAATAAGGCCCCTGGAAGTTCCCAGTAGCCTCTTCTGTGCAGATGAGGCAGCGCAGGAGGCAGGGTCTGTGCTTCTGCAGCCCAAGGTAGTGCAGCGCACGTGAGTTTGCTGGACTGCGTGGCGCTGGCAGTGGGGTGCGTGCGGGTGGTGTGAGCCGTGTGGGGGCTGGGGACTGGGGCTCCGGCTATGACCGCTGCTTCTCTCCACAGGGATATGAGGGATCCCTGATCAAGCTCACCTCCAGACAGGTACTTGCGCCCGGGCTTTGTCTTCCCTCCAGGCCAGCAGATGAGCTGGCACTGGGGCCTGGGGCCTTTTTCCCTAGAGGAGGCCTGTGGCAGTGGGGACCCAGTCCCTGCCAGCTCTGTCTGTCCTGGGGTGACAGGAAGGTGCCCTCCACATGCCCTGTCTCTACCAGCTAGCCAGCCCAGCCAGCACCAGGGACTTGGGGAACCGTGGGGGTAGGGGCTGGGTCCTGAGCCCTCAAGGTCACGCAGGGTCTCCACTCATGCTTGGCCAGATGAGGCTGGTGCGGGGCGTGGCAGTGCCCACCTGTAATCCCAGCGCTGGGTAGGCTGGGTAGGCTGAGGCAGGAGGGCCAGGGAGCATGAGTTCCAGGCCAGTCTAGAATATGTAGTGAAATTCTTGACCCAAAAATAAAAATAAAAGGGCCTCTCCTGAAAACACAGCGTTTAGGAGCAGGGGAGGGCTCTGTTGGTGGTGTAGTTCTGCGTCGGCCGGCCCCGGGGTGAAAGGGGGGCTGTGGAGAGTGTGCAGCTGCACTTGTGGGTGTGAGCACCCTGCTTTCTCCTCAGCGGGACAAGTACTGCCTCCAGTTAGGTGACAGCCCTTTGCTTTTGTCTTTGTGGTGTGGGGCTGGAACCCACAGCTTCACACATCCAGGCAAGGGTTCTGCCCCATGCAACAGCCTCAACCTTGGTCTTTTTTTTTTCTTTTTGGTACTAGGACTTGAACTCAGGATCTTGCACTTGCCAGGCAGGCGCTATGCTTCTGTGCTATATTCCCAGCCCCCTTTTTAAAGGCTGGCGAGATAGCTCAGTGGTCTAAAGCGTCTGCTTAGGCAAGCTTATTCAGGTGCAGGGGATCAAGGTTCCATCCCTGGCACCACATATTGCACCAGCCACCCCTCAGTGTGGGCTGATCTGCCCCCCCAATAAATAAATAAAAAGGCAAGGTCTTGCTGTATAATTAAGCCAGGCCTTGAACTTAACGGTGTAGCCCTGGCTGGCCTGGAACTCAAGAGAATCTTCCTGCCTCAGCCTTCCAAGTGTTGGGATTACAGGTGTGCACCACCACGCCCAGCAACCTGGGTCTTTTTGTTTGTGAGGATAAATGTGGTAGAGATGTCAGGGTGTTCTCTTTTTCTCCTACTAGCCTGTTGGTTTTGTGATCTTTGACAGCCGGGCAGGTGCAGAAGCGGCCAAGAATGCGCTGAACGTGAGTAGGCAGAGAACAGGCCTTTCTCCAAAACCATGGTCCTCTCGGCAATGAGCGTCCCTGTCTGTCCTCTGCAGATCCTTCGCCCTTTCCCACTCCATGCCCAAGAAGGGGGCCAGGGCTAGGCTTTATTTCCCAGCAGTCCCAGGGCAGGGTGCTTGGCTGGCCCTCAGTGACAGGCGTCACCATATCCACGAGCAGTCCCGTTGTGCCCCCAGGGTATGTCCAAGCCTGTGTGGAGCTGGTTTCTGTTGTCTAGTGTGCAGCTTTCTTGTCCTTCCCACGCAGGGCATTCGCTTTGATCCTGAGAACCCCCAGACCCTGAGGCTCGAATTTGCCAAGGCCAACACCAAGATGGCCAAGAGCAAGCTGATGGCGACACCAAATCCTAGCAGCGTTCACCCGGCCCTGGGAGCGCATTTCATCACACGGGACCCCTGTGAGTGGCGCTCGGCCTTGTGTGGGGTCGCATGCAGGGCAGGCCTCCTGATCCTGGTGCCCGTGCTCCTTGGACCCATAGGTACCCCTCTGAGACGCGGGCTTCCTGCGCTGTAGGGCTGCCCAGTCTGTTCTCTGCCTTCTCTGATTTCTCTGTCAGGATGGGCTGAGATTGTCTCCGATCCTCTTGAGTCAGGCAGGGCCACGGCCACATGGCTTTCTTCACTACTCTGGGGTCCTCTGCAGTGTGGGGAGGGGCCATGGTTCTGGGGCCCCCTCTCTGTTTGGAAAGGGGTGTGGGGATGGGCACTGACGTTGGAGGCCGTCGTATCCCGCTGTAGATGACCTGATGGGTGCTGCTCTGATCCCTGCGTCCCCAGAGGCCTGGACTCCTTACCCCCTGTACAGTGCAGACCTGACGCCCACCATCTCGCACAGTGCCTTCACTTACCCAGCTGCCACTGCGGCTGCCACCCTGCATGCTCAGGTAAGTTCTGGGGGGTGTGGGGAACTCCAGCTACTGGGGCTTCATCCATTATGACCTGCTGAGCCCTGGGGAGCTGTGTGTTTCTGCTCTTGGGACTCAGAATCCCACCAAAGGTCAGCAGAGAGCGCCCAAGGAGGATACTGGCAGAGCACATGGGCACTGAGAGGGAGGCACCTGCAGGCTAGGACCCTCTTGTCCACCTCTGACAACAGGACCACGACTCCCCTAACCAAGCCAAGCCTAGCTGGACCACCTGCCTCTGCCTCATCCTGTCTTTGTGAACTTTATAAGCTTTTAAGATGTTTATGCCTTGATCTGCTGCTTGTCTGGAAGCCTATTAGAGGACCCCTTGGGGACAGCGCATGGGGGTGCTGATAACCTGTTGAGTGCTTGCTCCTGTTCCCCTGAAGTCTGGACCTCTGCAGCCATAGGGAGCAAGGGGGGAAGGGCTCTGTGCCTGTGCCAGCCCCGCCCCTGGGAGGGGTTTTGAGATGAGCTGTGCAGTTCACAAAATGTGAAGTTGAGGTCTGGGGGCCACGCCTTTATTTATTTATTTTTGGTGGTACTAGGGATCGAACTCAGGACCTTGCGCTTGCTAGGCAAGCACTTATTCCGCTGAGCTATCTCCCTGGCCCAGGGCCACGCCTTTAGCAGATTGCTTCTCTGCCAAGGATCCTCCTGTATGGCACCTTGTAAAGGGCCTGACTGCTACTATTCCCTGGCTGTGCCCTTAGACAGCTGGAGGATCCATCTGAGGCTGGCAGGAGGATAGAGATGTCCCTGGAAGGGACTCTTGTGCACCATTTCCAGGGTGGCACTGCCTGGGGAGCTGGGGAGCCAGCATGCAGGTCTGTGCGGCATGGGTTCTTGGGGCTGCGGGGAAGAATGGTCACTGCCTCGCTGTGCCCCTTGCCGCAGCCCCTGCTCTGCTGCAGTTCGCTGTGTGGAGGTTAGGGCCCAGGCCCTGACTGAAAAGGGTGTTAGCAGATGGGGGAGGGGCTGTGCCCTGTCTGAGATCCTGGCCTGTGAGGAGGTGGGAGCCAGGTACAGTAGGTTTGTCAGGTGCGGCTGGGGCTGGCACTCCGCTGTCCTCCTCGGCTGTGTGCACAGAGCTGCATGCCCGCCTGTTGTCCGTTCCCTTGTCCGTGCTGGGCCTGCAGCTCCAGCCTGGATCCCAGCTGCCTCCTGCCTCTAGGCGGGCTGCTCATCTGGTCTCCACTTCCTTCTGTCGCCAAGGCCAGGGCCACCGCGGAACAGTGCCGGGGGCTGCTTCTGCTGTGATGTTTCTTGTCCCTGTTGTCTGGGTGTCTGGCATCTGTGGGACTGGAGGCCACCCCAAAGGATAGTAAGTGGCGTTTTCGGGGAGGTAGATTAATGACATTATTTCTGCCATTGCTGTGCAGGCTGGTTGGACATCCACCTCCGCGGTAGTGAAAGGGCTGCAAGACGCAGTCAGAGAGCGTCTTCCTCTTGTCTGAGTCCGCAACCCCTCTGGTGGTCTTCAACACCACCTGAGACACGCCAAATGCCTGTAAATAAGGAGTGTGGGCACTGATCTAAGCCGGAAGTACGGAACCCAAGCAGCTGTGGGGGAGCTGGGGAGCCTGTGCTGTTTTCCCCTAGTCCCGGGGTGCAGGGCTGGCTGTGGGTGGGCGGCCCTGGAGCTTGGTCCCCTCTTGGCCTCGGTCAGCTTGCTGCCTCGTCTTTGGGCAGGATGCATAAAGCCAGTGGCGTGGAGAGGGTCCCTTCATCTCTTGGAGGGTGTGATTTCGGTTTCCATTTCCACCTGGGAGCAGGGTATAAGGAAGCCCACGCGTACAAACCTTTCATTCAGGTCTGTATGTGAGGGTAGCTCAGCGCGAGACTGAGCCCCAGGCCTGCATGAAACAGGCCATCTAGTTTATCATCCTGTTTGAGCGTTTTGAGTCAGGATATTGGTATGCAACCCAGGCTGGCCTTGAACTGGAAAGTGCTCCTCCTGCTTCAGCCAGGAGATCTCAGTAAGGCTAGTGACTGCAACACCGTTCTGGTTGTTCCCAGGCACGTTAGAAGGTCCAGGCGCAGGCTCGCCAGCCTCGGTGCGCATTAGTTCTGACTTTCTGAGGTGTGAGGCCCATTTCTGTTGGTTTGGGTGTCGCAGGTAGGAGCCTCCCTTTGCCCACTTGGGTTCTTCGCAGACAGCGCTGAGATCTGGGAGGGGCTGGGGCTGCACCTTCTCTCCTTGTTCTGGAAGCAGCCCATGAGATTGCCCCTCAGGAGTCCCTACTTGGCCGGGACAGCTGGGGCCCTGTGTGCAGCCCTTCCCCTGGGTAGGGGCTCCTGCTCCGCTCTGAGTCAGGAAGAGATCTGGGAAGAGACAGGCCGCTTCCTGAGGCCTTGGGCTTATGGCTGCCCCTGAAGGGGAAGAGTGGCAGCAGCGAGGGGCATTGTCAGCGTGGCTGGGACCCAGAGGCTGCTCTAGTAGAGCTGCCTGTGCCCCTCACCAGTCCCCTGCAGGGCTGGCTCCTCACTGCACCGCTCCTGGGGTGCTGCTTTGCCTAGGGCGCCTGGAGCCAAACTGAGCCACAAGCAGCACTGTTTCCTCCCGTGTGTCCTTCTAGGCCACTGGCCTGTGAGGCCAGGCAGAGTGCCCTGTGCACATGTCCTTCCAGATGTTCCCGAGGCAAGAACAGTGCCTTTGGTGTGGTGCAGGGTTCAGTGAAGGTGGACCTGGTGGTGGTCTTGGGTCAGCTGTATTATGGGGACAGCGGTGCCCTGTACTCAGAGCTGCAGAGGGGTTCTGGCATAGGGTTAGGGGTTGGGAGGTGCAGGCATGAGGGCTGCCGGCCTCTGCCTTCCTACAGCACCCAGGAGGGTTTGTTGTCCCATGTTGTGCTGCCCAGGATGTAGGCATGAGCTCTACCAGAGGGCCTGGCACTGCTTGGTGTCCTCTCTGCTCCCCAAGACCCAGGGGTCATTGGCGGCCAGACAGGTAGCTAGTAGGTGTCTGGTGACCCACCCCTCTCTTTCCTAAGTTCCCACAGTAGTCCGAGGTGCTGTGCACCCTTCCCTGACATGGTGCCCATGAGTGTAGGGAGTCACTCACCTGGGCCTCCTCTGGCAAATGTTGCCAGGCCCTGGCAAGGACTCCTGAGGCGGCTGGGCTCTCAAGGGTGGTGGGTTCTGAGGCCCAGGAAAGAAGTAGAAGCATCAGCTAGGTCTCCCGCTAGCGTCTTTCTGTAGACCTAAAGAAGAACATGATTTTATATGCAGGTGCAGGGACTGGGGTTCGATCTTCTGGTGCCGTGCTGGCCTGGCCTGGCCCGTGCCCCTGGGTGTGCTGAGACTGGGATTGAGACTGGGTATGATGGTGGTGCTGGCTGGAGCCTTTAATCCCAGCCCTTGGGAGGCTGAAAGCAGGCGGATCACTATAGGTTTGATCTGTGTAGTGAGGCCCTTTGACCCTGTACTAAAAAGGACATTTTATTTATTTATTTATTTATTTTGCGGGGGGGTGGGGCAGAACCAGTGATTGAACTCAGGCCCTTGTGCTTGCCAGGGAAGCACTTATTCCACTGAGCCATCTCCCCAGCCCTCTTACATTTTAAAAAAACAAGTTTATTAGGTTCACTCTCCTGACTGTGGTCTTTCTCGCTCTCTGAGCAAAGGGGAGAAGGCAGATTGTTGGCACCACTCTGTGTGGCTTGGGGCTGGTGCCGTCTGAGTCATCTGGGCAGCCTCTGGCCTGCAGAGATGCTGGGGCAGATGAGGTACTGGTGCCGGTGAAGTGTCATGTGAGGGTGAGGGTCAGTGACAGTCCCCACCACACCTGGCTCCTGATGTGGCATCTTTTGCAGATGCGCTGGTTCCCGTCCTCTGATGCCACCCAGCAGGGATGGAAATATCGCCAGTTCTGCTAGTGCTGGTAAGTGCTGGCCCCGGGACCGGTTCTGGGCATCCCTCTGCTGGGCCCTTCTCCCCTCACCCCTGGTACTTCACCAGGCTCGCTGCATTCTCCCCATGAGGAAAGGAAGCCCCTGGCCCTGCTCACGGCCGCCTCTCTTGCCCTTCCAGGTCTTGTCCAGGGAGCTGACACTGGTCCGTGGGTGGGGCCAGCACAGGCCCCCGAGTTTCCACAGCCCCCTGAGGCCTGTGCAGTGCTCCCGTTCCCTCCAGAGACTGTTGACTCCTACAGCTGTGCTAAGTGGACCACGTCCCATGTCTGTTCCTTGTGCCACCCCAAAACCCTTACCCTGATTTGCTTTGTTCTGTGGATGCCCACAGGAAAGCGAGGCATTTACTTTGCATGTTGCCTGGCACCAGTGACTTAGCCTGTGTAGATGTGAGTGTAGTGTGTGTTCACACCATTGCCATAGCAGTGGGTCCTGGTGCTCTTGGTCTTGGTGCCTGGGGCTGCCCGCCTACTTCTGGGAGGCCTGGGCCCCGTGGCACCCACACTTCTGGCTGCACTGCACCCCGCACCCAGCAGCCGACCAGCGTTGCCTTTCCCCGCATCCCTAGTCATCCTGGGGCCGACGGTCACCCGCCACGGTGTGCCCACCCCACTGCTCCTCACTCTCCAAACCTTGAAACCAGAACGTGGAAAGTATTTCTGTACCCTGGGTAAGAAAATATTTATGCATCCTAAAGGATTTTTCATGTGTGTACCACTTAATTATTAAAGAGACCTCGTTCGCCCTGTCAGATAAGTTTAACGTTTAGTTCGAGGCATGAGGAAGCAGCGGCTTTTGTTCTGCAGCAGGGAGCCTTGTGTCAGGCGTGGTTTAAGGAAAATGAAGGAAAAGTCATGCAATTTTGTTTTGCGTTGTAAGCAAACTGCTTTGTTTTTTGTTGCGGCTGCAATTGTCTTGCCATTTCAGACGTGGGGGCAAGGTGGCTGTTGTCCTTGCTGATCCTGTGAGAATGTGAACCTGGATAATATATGAAAATATGAAATAAAAAACTCGAAAGCAGCTGCTCTGTCACCTCTGCGTCTAACTGCAGATGCAGGCTGCAGGCTGCAGGTACAGTCACCAGGGGCTCAGCAGGGAGGGCCGCGGGCTCCGCCAGCTGCCTCTGGCCTGGCACCTGTCCCGAGGGGCCCCTGCCTGGGCTGCAGCCGAGTCCCAGCAGGGGATGTGTGGGGTTCAGGTTCCTGAGCTGGCGGCGCTCAGCCTGGGCTGCCCAGGGCAGTGGTCAGGTGTGCACAGCCACCCTGTTTCTGTCCTTGCGTTCTGCACTCCTGATTTGCTCTTCACACGTGCATGGGCCCTGGGAGCCACTGCACCCCTGTGCCTGGTACAGAGGGCAGGTGAGCCCCAGAGCCTGCCCTAGATAAAGCCAGGCTGGCTGCCTGGCTCTGTCACTGCCCAACCCACACCCCACTGTCAACCCTGGCACCACTCCATACCGCGCCTAGCCCCTTCTGCAGCCCAGTGCTGCCCTGTTGGCCTGGGCCTAAGGTGCTCATGCATGGTGACCAGAAAGGCAGGAGGAGGAAGAGAAGCCTGGATGCCAGAGGGACGGTCACAGGGACCAGAGGCAGCTCCAGGAGAGGGTGACGCTGTCTCTCACGTTGCCGTGCTGTTCGAGCTAGCAGGCACTAGCCAAGCTGGCCTTAGGCCTCCTGGCTGCCGACCCCTATGGCTGAGTACACCTGACCTACTTATGCCAAAGGGAACCACTGGGGCTTCCAGGGTAGTGAATTATTCAGCCGGGGCATTTCTGAGAGGGGCAGGAAAGCTGTTCCATAATTCAAAGGCCCGGAGCCTGGGCGTCCCTGGAGCTTGTGTCCTGCATGGCCACCGAGCAGATGGAAGAGAAGGGAGCGAAGGAGGGGAGGCTGATGGCCTGCGTACCTGACCTAGCCTCGCTCATTGAAAGGGTTACCTGGCTTCTGTTACCTGGTGTCTCTCGGAAGTGCTTTGTGGCGACCTGAGCCCTATCCCAGATCTCTTCCCAGAGTTGCTGACAGTTCCTCAGGCAGAAGAGGCCATCTGCACATGTGTTCCCGTCCCCTTCCTACACACCCACCCACCCTGCTCTGGGAGAGGCCTGGAGGCAATGTGAACCTGCTGCCCCGAGGTACCTATGTGGGGTGCAGCTGCCTGGCCAGCTGGAATGTGACTGTTACCTTGAGGCTCTGAAAGGAGGGTGGGTTCCCACTGCCTGGGTTGTATGGTGGGGACTTGGTGATGGCGGCATGAGCCCTTAGGCTATGGGACCTGGAGACCCCTGTGAGGTCCCTGAGGTGCAAGAAGGGCCACACCCCCCAGGCAGGGCTGACTGCTGCCTCCTGGCTTCTTGAATGGGGTCAAGGATGGGACCCATGAGGGGCTCCCGAGGTCAGATACCTGCCTTCACAGGGCTTGAAAACTAGAATCACTCTTTCAGCAGCCACAGCAGAGTCCCTTCCCCTGCCCTGTGAAGCAGTGGACAGGTGGCTGCTTTATTTTTATTATTTTATTTTTTTTGTGTGTGTGTTCATTTGCATCTTTATTTTGCAAGCTGTGGCGCAGCTCCCCAGTTCTCACCTCCAAAGAAAAGGGGAAGAAAAGGGCCAAGTGCTGGGCAAAAAAGGGGAAAGTCTCTACAGGATTCGCCGTGTCTTCTCTTTTCCTTCAAGGTGTTCGTGTCACAGTGCATGCATAGACTCACGTGTGCCACTGCCTCCCCAAAGTTGTCACCATACCATCACGGGAGGAGAGACAAATGGAGCTCTTGTGGAGGACATGAGGGTGGCTTTGCAAGGTGGCTGCTTTAGTGTCAGGAGGGCAGTGCCTGTCATGTGCACTCTTCAGCTGTGCTCCTTGGGGACAGCAGGTTCACTTCCAGAGCCTGGATGCAAGCTTGGGTCTGTGTCTTCTGCCCCTCCCACTGGGCCATACTCTGTTTCTCTTGGAGGTCTTGGTCTAAAAATGATAGTCTTTTGTTGGAGTATAGGTCCTGTGCTTGATCAGGGGACAGAGAAGCCTCAGTGAACACACAGCCTCAGCCTTTGTCTGGCCTTTGACCTAGGAGTCAGCCATGTGAGCTGACAGGACCCACTTGGCCCTGGGCAACGCAGGAGCTTTGCTGCTGGGCTGGCGGGCTGTGGGGCTGGCGGGCTGCTGGGCTGCTGGGCTGCCGGGCTGGCGGGCTGGCGGGCTGGCGGGCTGGCGGGCTGTGGGGCTGGCGGGCTGCCGGGCTGCTGGGCTGCTGGGCTGCCGGGCTGGCGGGCTGGCGGGCTGGCGGGCTGCGGGGCTGCCGGGCTGGCGGGCTGGCGGGCTGGCGGTATCTGGCCGTATCTGGCCGTATCTGGCCGTATCTGGCTGGCTGTATCTGCGCTTCCTTTGCATGTCTTCCCAAGTAGAGAAGACACAGCACCAGCACCCGTTAGGAGGAGACCGATAAAGGAATGGCTCTTGCATCCCATGGAAACCTACCATCTCCCTCCCCACAAGATTATATTTTTTCTTGACTCTCCTCCCAAGGTTCTCTTGGGGGTTAATGATAGCACAAGGTGGTGCTTAATGCTTGGTAGGTGCTAAGTTTGGTTTCAGGTTTTTTTTTGGGGGGTGGTAGTGGGGATTGAACCCAGGGCCTTGTCCCAGCCCTTTTTCTTTTGTTATTTTTATTTTTGTCTCAGTAAGTTTCCCAGGCTGAGCTCAAAGCAGTCTTCCTACCTCAGTCTCCCAGAGAGTGCTGGTGTCCACCATGTGCCATCATGCCAGGCTCTCAGTTTTCCAGGATTGTCCTGTCTTTTTCCCACGTTTTTACCAGGAGGTGAAATCAATTCCAACTGACACCCCCCGACTGTTTACTCAGGGCCTGAGGTAAAGGTTTTAATCACACATCTACCTAGAGGAGAGCCTTTTTAAAAAACGTATTTGGTACATGGTCTTCAGGGTCTCATTACCTGTTTTCAGCCTCCTAAGAGCTGGGATTACAGCTGCCGCCACACCCAGTATCTGGCAGTCTCAGGGCCGTGGGCCAGCATGGTGTGCTGTGGCTGCACTGTGTCTAAACAGGCGCTTTAGTCCGCTGAGCTATGTGGTCGGCCCTGAGGGGAGCGTCTTGGGAGAAGGTGTTGAGGCCCCAGGCAGTTTGGGACCAGATCTTACTGAGGCCTCTTAGCTAGCAAGCCTGCTGGAAGAGCCCTGGGAGGTACTTCTGCACAGTCATCTACCCTGGGGTCACAGAGCCCAGAAAGCAAAGGCTTGGTTCCAAAGCTGTGTACTTCCCTGTGTGGCAGGATGATTCTGTCACATGGACTCCCAAGGTCTGGGGTTCCTTCAACTTTTTTTTTTTTTGCTTTTTTGAGACAGGGTCTTGCTGTGCGGTTCAGGCTGGCCTTGCGCTCATTTCATAGCCCAGGCTGGTCTCGAACTCAAAGCAGTCCTTTGGCCTCAGCCTCCTGAGTGCTGGGATCACAGGCATGTGCCACCATGCCCCACTTTCCTTCAAGTTTTTTTTTTTTTTTTGAGGAACCGGGGGTTGAACTCAGGCCCTTGTGCTTGCCAGGGAGGCGCTTATTCTACTGAACCATCTCCCCAGCCCCTAAAAAAAACTTTAAAAAGAATCTTTTTTAAAAAAAGAAAAAAAGAATCTTTTATCTGTTTGGTACAGGGTCTCACCATGCAGCTCAGCCTCGATGATCCTCTGTCTCAGCCTCCCCAGCGCTGGGGTTATAGGCCTGTCCCAATACACCCAGTTTTTTTTTTTTTTTTTTTTTTTTTTTTGCAGAACCGGGGATTGAACTCAGGCCCTTGCGCTTGCCAGAGAAGCACTTATTCCATTGAGCCATCTCCCCGGCCCCTTTACACCCAGTTTTGATGGCCAGCACAGTATGTGGTATTGGAGATCGAACCTGGGTCCTTGTGCTTGCTAAGCAGGCACTTAGATTGCCAAGCTTATCTTCAGCTCACTTTCCTTCAACTCTTGAGAGACCCCATTTTGGGATGGATTCCCAGGGTGAGCAGGAGGAAAGAGCTGAGAAATGGCTTTATTTATTTATTTAGAAATGTCTTTAGTAGCCTGGCTAAGAAATATACTAGGGCTGGTGAGATGGCTCAGTGGTCTAAAGCACCTACTTAGAACAAGCTTAGCAAAGCACCGGGACCGCAGTTCAATCCCCCAGCACCACATGCCAGCCAGCCCGCCCCCTAGTGGGCTGACCTGGCCCCACACACACAAATAAATAAATATCTGGTGTCCCCCCCCCCAAAAAAAAAGACTGTATTGCCTAGTATGACCTGCCATTGTGGCTGATCAGGAGGCCAGGGCAGGAGGGTGGCCCGTCTGAGAGCAGCCTGCGCAATTCAGACTCAAAATGCAGTGGTACCTTGCTACTTATTAACTGCCCTTGAGAGACAGGATAGGCACCGACACCCCAAGTTCTAGCGTCCACTGACCAGTCGGGCAGGACAGTGTCTTCAGGACAGTGTCAGCATGTTTCTCTGCCATATTAGACAACTTTCTTTTTTTTTTATTTTTTTTATTTTTTATTTGAGAGAGAGAGAGAGAGAGAGAGAGAGAGAGAGAGAGAGAGAGAGAGAGA